TTGATTAGAACATTTTTTATTTTTAAACTTTTTATAATATGCAAATAAGGTTTCAAGCTCTCTTTTATACACTAAAAAAATACAAAAAAAAAAAAATGTAAGTTAATGAAAGATAAAAATAATAAATAATACTGTATAATAAGTATGACTGTTAGTTTTGTTATCGTTTGTTTTTGTTTTTGTTTTTACTCAATTCTAATAATTTATTATCATTAATATTAATTTAATTTTTTTCCCTTATTAATTTGCTGTATTATTTCACTATAAGCTATATTTCTTTGTTTTTAATAGAGTTTTTATTTTTGTTATATATACTTTATTATTTTATATATATTTATTTTTATGTATTTCATTTTATTATATTGTAAATATGGTATGAATATACCTCACAGCTTTAATATTCGGTAAAATGTATTATGCCTCAATTAAATGATTAAAAAAAAAATACCGCATTTATTATATTGGTTGTTTATTTCCCAAGTTAATCCTAACCATTAATGACATTTTTTTTTTTTTATTTGCTTCTATCCTTGAGGGCTAAACCGGCTTGAACTTCTGACAAATAAATTTTTAAAAGATTAAGAAATTCATTATTTTTGGCACATACTATTAAAAATCGATGAGTAATAAAAAAGAATTGAAACTCAAATAGGGCCAACCATTTGAAATTTTCCAACTATCATACCTGTCCTAAGATTGTAACTACAATAACATTGTTTAATTTATTATATATTAAATACATTACTGATGTTTAAACGAAACTCTGGTAAAAATTATTTCTTTCTTAAATGCTTCGTGCATAGGCTAAACGTCAGAGGTCCTTTAAGGATTACACGAAGCTTAAGACCCCTTTGAGATCAGTTACCTTACAAATACCACAGCTGTTAGAGCTGGTAAGCTACAAGAAGAGGTTTGTAAACAGGGTCTAATACCCTATCTAAGGGACCTTTATAACGAAGCCACTTCAACGTGCTAATGTAGAAACTCGTTAACCGGGGAGCAATTAGAGTCCAGGAAACAAAGTTAAATGTCAGAGAGTGGTATAGAGGCACTCAAGCACTCAATGGTGGCACTGCACAGACAGGCACTGAATGCCCCCTGATGAGCTCAAACTGATTGCTTGCCACCGTCCATCTGTAGCAAAAACATCTTCGAACTGTTATGACAATGGCTGCCAGTAAACAACCAACAAAGGTGGATCCAGTTGAATAATTGGCTTCAAAATGTTGTGACATTCTGTCAGATCGTATATATAATTAAACTAGCCTTCTTATCGTTTATTAACTTTTTGAAAATTTACGTCTAATGAAATAATAATGGTAGGTAAAAGTTTTGTGAAGTATTGCTCTAAAATTATTTTAATATTGTAAGTTTATTACTCTGATGAAATATTGTACTTGACCAAGAAAAAAAAAACCCGGAAAATATATTATTATAATATTATAAAAAATAATACTTAATTTACTCTGGAACAAGTCCATTTAGAATAATATTCAGGGATAGAAATGTGTTCTTTGGAGGCTTAGAGATTAATCTTAAAAAAAATAAATAAAAAATAAAAATATATGTAATAAATTTAAAAAAGTATAACACTTTCTATCTTTAATCAATTAATAAAAAGTTGCTGTAACATCTCAGGCATATACAAATTTTAAATATGCAATTTAACTTTCGTACGACTTTTCAATTTTGAGCTAGACTGATAACATACACACAGGCACACAGACACACGATCACAAAACTATTTTGCGGGATTTGGTTATTTGGGCTCTCGTTTGCACCTCAAAACGTGTATCTCCATTTAAAGCTCAGATTCGAAAACTTTCACGATCGCAATACTTTCCCTTACTATATATTACATATATAGGTAAGCGAAAGTAAAAATAAAAATATTTAAAACGAGCTCTTAATTAATATAAAGATTTACAACACCTATTTACAATTGTGTAGTGATTAATCAAGCAGAATTTAACGGTGCAGGTATAAATGTAAAATCCGGAAATCGAATAAAACAAATGGCTCTGTCCGCGGCTTGTCTTCGAAACGTATTTGAAAAATAAAGAAATTATCAAGTAAAAAAGAATCATCGAAATCAGATAATACGTTGCAGAGATGTATTTTTAAAAATATGTTTTATTTGATATGTCCTTTAAAAATTTTCTTATACTATTATTGTAACAGGATTTTTTTTCTGGCAAGATTAATATTGAAGAACGATTTGATTCTTTAATTTTTTTCAAACAAAAAAATCATCAACCAATCATTTCAAAGACTTCATCAGTTTTCATTCAATAATCAAAATTAATTTTTTTTAATTTAAAGTTTTTTACCTTCCATTATTAATTATTTTTGCCGACTGACCTGTGGACAATAAATAAGAAAAAATAAAACTAATTTAATTATTAAGAATATAATGTCAATAAAATGAGGTAAGCAAAACATATGGCAATGGTATGTTATGTTAATTTTTTTAAATTAATGTGATTCATTGGACGTGTTTTCGTTGTTTTCTATTGTGTCGTCTATAAAAATGTTGAGGTGACTATGCTAATTCTCTTTGTTTGTTGGAAATTTATGTATTCTCTGCGAAATATAGTATAACTAAGAAAAGTAAGGGTATGCGCTGTACCTATTTAATTAATTTGCGGAATGTATTAAATGTAAATATGTTTTAATGTGTAGAATGTAATGAAGACAAAATGAAAACAAGTTTTGGAATTCCTTTAGGGCTAGCTAAAGAAGATGGGAGGGGCAACGTCATAGTCCCATTTTGGCCACCATCGCTCACCCTATTTTCAAAGGTGTTAATGCCTATTTATAAGCTTTGCTCCAACATTCTTGAAATCCAAGATTCCTTAGAGTTGTTGTCTTTGGCATAAAATGCAAAAATTTCAGGTGCATTTCCGCTATTCCCCTTTACAGGGATTTGGAATAAGAAGGCAGTTGTCAACAAACTTAACTATGGTATTTTATTTCAAAAAATAATTTACGACCATCTCAAATTTAGCTATAATTTAAGTGTCGTTTACAAATTTTGCATACATCGATGATTGATATACAAAAAAAAAAATCTTTTCAAATTCTAATTTTCAAATAGCATCATAAGCTTCCTTTTATTTTTCAACATTTCTTTTTTTTTTTTTTTTTTGGCACTTTGAATAAAATTAAATTAGTCAATCAAATAATGAAAAATAAAAATCATTATTATAATATAGAGTTAATTTATAATTTATATTAAATCATTAAAAAGCTTTATACCATCACAAAATCAAATACTCTTTTCATTTAACATTTATCCTGAATGTCCCAGCAAAGTTTCAGGAATTAAAACAATTCAAATTTTTTTTATATAAATTAAAATGCCATAATTTTATTCAAATGAAAGCTAAATGTTACTTTCAAAGTGAAATAAAAAAAAATGTATCTTAATTTTATTCTCATGACATTTTTGGAACGAGCAGTTCTGATAAAGGACTACAACTTGAATTGAGCACCCTCAACTAATTTCAAAACCAAATTTTCTACAATAAAATATTTCTGCACCATTACAATATTTAATAAACTAATATGCTCAACTTTGGCATATCTTTGTAGTTATACTTGTGAGCTGTAAAATAAACAATGTACAGCTAAGCAGATACATATTGAATCTTAAGGACAAATTTGGCTCTTTATGTTACTTTCATCAAATAATTACAAAGTCTATTCCCAAAATAAATATATAGCCCATTTGAGAATGAAACTATCTAATATTTATTTTCCTTTCAAAAGTTTATTGATTCAATGTAGCTGAGTTAATATATCCTCCAGAAGTAAACATTGCTTGAATGATGAGTACTCGTCATTACCAGTTTAGGAAAAAAATCTGAAGATTAAACATAAATGCGCATTACCTCCTTTAATAACCATTGGTATAAGAGTAGTATATCCTGAACGAATATTTAGGTTCAAGGATTATTGTGGTACAGTATTTCATTCATTCATTTATTTTTTATTTATTTTTTTTTGTAGGAAGTTGATAACAATCTTTAGTAAAGTATTAGTAAAGTAATGGTCAGGTTGGTAGTATAAATTTGAAATTGTATTTTATGGTTGCATTTAAAAGTACAATTGATAAAGATTTAAATTTAAAATAAAAGTAAAGAATAATAAATAAAACTGATAACAATGTAATTAGTAAGAGTTTTTCCAGAATCTGCCACATTGAAGAACAACAAGTTTAGGGCTGTTCATACATACCGTATATACACACAAAAGATAAAAAATATTTAAAATAAATGTATCAATAAAACAATAATAATAGCTAACGAAGATAATAATGTGATAAACAAAATAAAAATGTGAAGTTCAAAAATAAAATTGTTCTTAAGCAAATTCATACCTATATACAATATTTATAATCGCACACAGAACTCTGTGTTCCACTGTAGGAGATCTCAGTTAGTGTCGCCCAAAATCGGTCTTGTTCTTGCAAAGTGCAAGACCAAAACCAAGATTAATAAAAAACTCGATGTTGTGAATACAAATTAAGGCAAATTAGTTACTCATAGTTGACTATTTTAGTAGCTATTTGTGAAGAATTGGTATAACCAAAATACATTTGTACTAAACATTTCTAATTCTTCTTTCGGACTTAGTTAGATTTCTCTAATCTGAAAAAAAAGTACAGTAATATCTCCATAGTAATAAGCTAACAGGTAACTGCAAGACTGTTGTGAGACTCTTGCGCAAGATCAAGACCAATACTCGTCTTGATTTCGCATATGGGCAACACTAAACCTAGTGCATCATAGTGACGCGGCTGGGTCACTGGTAAAAGGGTGAAAGACACTCCATAGGCTGTAGCGGTACAGCTGTTTTAGGCCTGATGATAAAGCACAATAAAGATCATTTGGTTTTTCTTTAAATGATAATAATATTTATATAATACATATATAAGTTTGATATTTTAAAAAACTAGCAGAATTTAACATTAGAATGTTCTACATCTAAGTGTGTTTTTAGGTTGTTCTGAGAGGATTTGAAGCTGCTAAAGCTGCTTCGGTCCGAAAAAATGAACCTGTGGAAATATAATGAGTTTTCACTGGAGAGTTTTCCCAAGGTGACAGAGTACAGCGGGGACCCGCTACCCGGCTAAGACTGGATATGGATTTAACGCCGATTTGGAGAGCTAAAAAGAGGATGACAGCTATGACGACCATTGTTACAGCGAACGCTATGATCTCGTCAGTGGGTGCGCAGCGCGCATAGCGGATTGGCCACAGGAACTGTTGGTGCGCACTCGGCAGAGAAAGCCGCCGGGGGGTTGTCAACCTGGGATCTTCTTTTTTTTTAACTTCTTTCATCTGCCTCAATCCTCCAGCGAGTGGAAGAAGTGGACACGGGGAATTAGAGTTGAAGAAAGGGTTGGAATGGTTAGCAGTGGATCTGTCACGCATTCCCCCGGCGACAATGGTAGCAGCCAGTCCTTTGTCGATCCCACCTCTTTCAATTACTACACCTCCGCTCTCCGCACGTGAGGGAACCGATCTCCTCTCTTATAAAGTATAACTTACTATTTCAAACACACAACTTATAACCATCACTACCAAGGCGTCGGCAGTAGCTTTCAATGTCATGAGGCTATCAGATCTTAGACATCATTATCCAACCTCACTAAAGAACTGACCCATATTTAAATTTGGAATAATTAATCTAGAAGACGCCTACTTGTAGATATTCTGGGTTGTAGGGTAGAATCACGGGGTTACGGTTATGACAGTTGTCATATTAGCGAAACTGTAAGGAATAGCGAAGAGATTTCAACTCCACTTAAACTGATGTTAGTCATCATTATATTTGCGTAACGGAGTCGCGATGGTCGAACGAATTAAGGTATCTGCGAAAATTTTATTTGCATGGTATGGGATAATATAATATGGGATGTTATTGCATTGGTATGGGATAATCTCCTATCCCATAAAAAACTGGGTGTAAAATATTGCTAACCATCCAGCAGGACAGTTCGTACTCGCGCCCGGTTAGTAAAACACATGTTCCCTAAATATCTTGAAGAAGAGAGAACAAAGCCTCCTGAACAAGACTCTTCACTTAAAAAGTCGAAGTCAACAGGCGTAGGGAAAAAAAAATTATTCCTCATAAATGTGATGAGTCTTACTTGATCACTGTATTTTACTTTCAGTTTTTGAATCTACAACCTTAGATTTCTTCTTTTCTTTTGATGTTGCATGTTGTTAATTACATACATGTTTATATTAATGAGGGAAACATTTTAAGCTTTTTGTTTCACTGATTTCCGTATAACTTATATCTACACACTCATATATATATATATATATATATATATATATATATATATATAATTATTATATATAAGTATTTAAAATATAGTTTTCACTTTTCCTGAACAATTATCAATAATGATTAGGGATCACTTCGAAAATAATCGACTCAAATAATGTATTCCCGATTTCTTAATATCATGAATACTTTCCATCTAGAACAGTTTTTTTAGGACTAAAAAAAATTATTTTTTATTTACTAACGATTGATGATGATTCATGATTTACTTCCTCTTTACTTACCAACATAAAATAAAAGTTGTAAACCACAAATAAACGGCAATTATTGAATGAATGAAAACATAATTTTATTCTGGGACTACAGTCCCCTAAGAACAATAACAGAGTTACATAATTAAGAACATTAGGCTGGCTCAAATGAATACAAAACGATGCCTAATTAACTGTTGATTGCTATTGTAATTGTTCAGTTGATTGAATTAAACAGTACAACTCAAGAAAATTTTAAATGTGTGCGGATGTTTGAGTATGGGGTAGGTGGTGGAACAGGAGTTGTTTGAAGGACTTTGCAGACGAGGATTGATGTATGGAGTTAGGTAGAGATTTCCAAAAGGACTTAGCACGAATGACGATGGATTTGCTGAAGGAAGCAGTTTTATCGGAGGAGATGTATATATCTACAGGTTGAGATCTGGTATTGAGAGAGTGGACAGGGGAACGTAGAGAAAAGGATTTCCAGGACGTGGGGAAGGTGTTAGGTTCTGAGGATTTCGAAAAGGAAAACACCAAGGAGGAATTGTCGTCAGGAAGTAAGGAATAAAGCCACTCCAACTCGGTACACCAGAATGTAACATGGAGACGCTTGGGGATCACAAAGATGTATCTTATGAAACAGTTCATGAGTTTCTTTAATCTCATTTCCAGCCAGGCAGATAGCCCTCCATATACCAAACAGCCTTAGTCGAAATGGGAGAATATAAGGGAGGTTACAAGGAGCTGTCTAGTTTTTAGAGGAATACAATCACTATTCAATTATTTGTTTAAATTAAGTTGGATCATGTATTTTTATTTTTTATAAAAACTTATTAAAACATTTATTATGTTATCCTTATTGGTTTTAATGGCTATAAATACTGTATATTGTTTTACTCCTAAATAAAACTACATTCTAAAAATATGACTAGTAATAGTGATAAAATAAGACAAAAGCAACATTATAAATGATAATAACAATGACAAAAACTTAAAGATAAACAATAATGTTAACGAGAGATATGATTAATTTAATAAAATATTTAAAAGTTATTCAGCATTAAATTACTATACTTACAATTAAAATGATACGAAAAGAAAAAAAAATCCAAATGTTTAAAAAATATATGTTAGAAAAATATTACAGCAGGATAGTAAAAAATTAAATGATAATCTATTACCTTAAATCATATGTTATTAAAACTAACCGTTACAGCGTAACATGTTAGTTTCTATCAACAATTATTTCCAGCTATACAAAAAATTTTTCCTCCTTTCTTATATCGAGCTGAACGAAATGTAATACTAATATACACCAAAGAATCATAATTTAAAAATACCTTTCCCATGAGAAGCATAGGAAGTAAGCTGCGATCAAACATCGCCGACAGCTTCGCGACTTCAGCCAGACAAGTCTGGTATGAACACCAGTCGACAAGGATGTTGCGTCATCCGCTAAAAGAATGCCACTGTTTCGAACACTTTGAAGTTAACTTCTTAAATTTTGTAAATAGTGATTTAGGCCTCAATAGTATCTGTGATAAAATTCAATTTATACTTAAATAATTCAGTTTTTTTATCATGTTAACAGTAAATAAATAATATAGTTGCAAAGAAGGGACGAATCAGCTAGTTAGATAGTCCTGTATAATTATTATTAAACTAAATTAAGACGAAATCATATATTAATGTATTACAATATTGGTGTATGACTTATAATATTGCTTCTATCAATAGAGGCTGATGTTGAAATCTAAACGTTCTAAAAATGCTCAAATGAGAAGTTGAATATATAATTAATAAATCAGAAATAAATAAGTAAAAGCTTATTACGATTGATAATACATCCCTAAAACTACCTATGAAATATAAATAAAATAATGACAAATGATTATATTTAAACATAATAATCCACTTATGCCTGTTGAACAAACCGATGCCTAGATCTCCACCTGGACAACAGCAGCAGTAGAGGGAGAACGGCACTGAATATGTGTTATTGTTTCACAAGATTCAATTATCCTTCTTCGTAAGGAACTAAGGTCATTGACATAGACTTTTTGTTTAATGTCACTCCAAATAAAAAAATCCAGTGATATCAGATCTAGAGAGTGTGCAGGCCAAGCCACTGATCCTGCACGGCCAATCCATTGATTGGTACGAGTGAAGAGTGACCTCTTCCGTAATATGCAGAACAAACATCTAATGGAAGCCATATGTCCCTTCTCAGTTGTATTCCGACACTCATAGACAAACGCTCTAAGTTTCAAATTAATTACAAAAGACTCATTGATATGGTTATAATAAGGATTATTTGGGGACTTACAGGGTTGAGCTTTGGTGCTCTTCTAAACCATCGAATCCCTCTCGTATCCAATCCCTACAACGCAAAATCATTCGTAAAATCCTCAATTCTTTACTTTGTTACAAATAAAATAATCCATAAATACAGATGTTCCATATGTTTCCTATTTGGTGCAATTAGATATCTACCCATCTCAAATAAACTTCAAAAGCATCCTAATTCTCTCGTTTGTGTTCTTGGTCCCTCTTCGATCCCTGTTAATTTACAGATGCGTCTGAAAAGAAGAAGGTCTCGTGAACTTGAACGTGAATTTTTATTAGAGTACTACCAATGGCTAGTTTCTCTACAAGTGTTTTCATGCCATTGTATTTCTTGGTATAACATTTACTAGATCTATATTTGTTTTTACGACTAATTTGCAACAGTATAATGTCATTAGTAAACTTAAAAAAAAAAAATATATTTCTATTTTAAATTCTAATAATTATAGTCCGTAGTACAGACCCCTTTTTATCGAATTATTAATATCCGCCTGAAGCTTCGTAAATAGTTTCATCTCATCGTAACCTACAACTATTTTATTTACGAAAACTTTTGGAATAGGGGCATTTTAAGTCTTAAGGGAGCAAACTTTGTATATTTAATTAGGTACTAAAAACTCGTAAATACACATATGCTTTATACTTGGAACGTAAGATAATTTGATCACAAAATCAAGAAAAAATTTGCTTCAAATATATTGGGCCGTTCTGCGTGACCCGCTAATTTTCAAAATAACGAGGTTATACAGGACAAACGGCCCAATATTTTTATCGATTTTTTTATTAGAATTATGCTACGATCCAAGTAGAAAGCAAATGGGTATTTACGAGTTTTTAGTACTCAATTAAATAGACAAAGTTTGCCCCTCTCCAGATTGAAAACGACCCAATTCCAAGAGTTTTCGTAAATAAAATAGTTGTAGGTTACGATGATATGAAACTATTTACCAAGTTTCAGGCGGATGTTAATAATTCGATAAAAAGGGTTCTGTACGACGGAATATTACTTGGAAGATGCTTTGAAAAAAAGGGAGAATAAACGATCATTTGAATTGACTGGTAGATAAAAAGCATGTGTGTTAAGTGGACTGCATATATATATATTTTATTTTAACTTGAATCTTTAGGAATAAAATAAAATAAAGCAGTTAAGACGGGATTTTATGAGTTTGGTGACAATTGGAGACGACTAAATATTTGTTGGTAGCCTTGAGAGCCGGTATGTGGCAGATAGTACGTGGCCGTGGGAACTGTTTCTCACTAATTTAGATTCGACCCCTGTCCGGACCATCCTCGCCAGCCCTCCTCCGAAATTACATCGCTTACTCCTCTTCAGTCTCCCCATCCTTCCGCTCGCGAAATCCGAAAATCTTTCTTGATACTTTGTATCAAATACCAAATGTACTTAACATACTTTCCCAATGCCGGTTAGAGATACAATGCTTTGAATGGGGGTTTACATATTAACATATAACTAATTCAATTTAATCTACGATTTTTTTTTTAATTAGTTCCATACCTATATAGGCAAATATTTTATTCAAAGTATTTCTGCCGTAATACAGAGCATTACCGGTACTATTTTATGATAAACAGTCAATAAATCTTCATAATTAGCGAAATTGATTTTTCACGAATTCTGTTAAAAAAATTCCATGCTTTTTCACCAGATCATTACGTCTGAATGGAAATTCATTGAGGTATAGAAAAAATAAATAAATAATTATTTTCATAATAGTAAATTAAAAAAGAAAATAATAATTAAGTTCTCTAAAGTATCAAATAAGATCAGTTTAATCTTTTTTTATTTTTTTTTTATTTTTCCTTTTTCTCGCCTCTACCCTAAAGGGTCATTGGCGTTTTCTATGATTTATACTCTGTTATAGTAGTTTACAATTTTTAAAAAATTTAACACGATCGAGACTCTTTCTTCATTGTCTTTTAGTATTTCGTTTAGTGTTTTTCCTAGTTCTATTTTTTCTCTGAGCCTTTCGAATTGGGAACATTCTACTAGAAGGTGTTTCACAGTTTGCAGTGTATTGTTACATTTCTCGCAAATAGGAGCTTCTAGGCCTCTTAAAAGATAGCTATGAGTGAACTGGCAGTGCCCAATCCTAAGGCGGCACAGTATAATTTCTTCTGTTGCTAGTGAGCCATTTATCGCAATTGGGTTTCACTTCTTTCAGCTTACACTCTTTGATCCTTCACTCTTTTTCCCACTCTGCCAGTGGTTTTTTCTTTATTTCGTGTACCCAGTCTTCTAAAGTGATATATTTCACTGTTGTCACTTCCTCTTCTTCTCCTCCACTTCTTGCTACATGGGCTGCATTGTCAGCATTTTCATTTCCTAAAATTCCGCAATGAGCTGGTACCCATACCAATACAACTGTTATTTCTTTATTTTTTAGATCCCACCAGATATTGAGTATTTCCCTAATTATGGAGTTTTTAGGATATGGATTGTCAATGGCAGTTAAAACGTTGTATGAGTCCGTCACAATTACCCAGTAGTTCTTTTCAGTTTCGCTTATAAGATATAAAGCATTCATGATGGCAGTGGCCTCTCCTGTGAATACTGAACATTTTCCAGGTAATTTAAACAGTAATTGTTTCTCTTTACTCGCTAAAGCACATCCAACGCTACCTCCTTCTTTGGATGCATCCGTATATATAAAATCTTTTTTTATTTATATGACTTATTTTTTCATATTTTAACAGCTACCAGTTTATACATGGTGGGCCAGACACCCCTACCGTAAACTCCATTCTCTCCTCTCCCTCCCCCACATCCCAATAAATTGCATATCGTTGTGTTCCTTGTAACTATTTATTAAAAAAAAAAAATCTTCCCACAAAAAAAGTGAACGCACTGCCCCAAAATGGCGTCCAAACATGGCGTACTGACGACTTTGACTTTAGTTAGTGATTTGGTCACAGAGAATCAGAATTTGGCTTAATATCGTCATAGTTAGTCTTTTATTAAAGTTGGATAGTGAGAGAATAATAAAACATGAAAAAATATTAAACAAATAATTGGCTTAGGGAATAAAAAACACCAGAAAAGACAATTTAAAAAAAAAATATTCAAGTTGAAAATCAAGTGTCGTTTGTAATTAAACGACCAACATAACGAAAAACGTGCTGAAATAAAACATCTGGATAATACATTTTTCTTTCTAAAACACTGATTACTGTTTCCTTTCACCGAACGAGAAAGGAAGTGCCAAAATCCCGGTAAAGAAAACAAGGACCTGTATCCATTATATGGCTAAACGAATATATAGTAGACAGATGAACGGAATTTTCCAAGATGTTGCTAAAAGTGGGTCGTATGCTGGATCAGTTTGGATGATATTAAGGGGACGATGTAGGTTTATTATGGTGAAGACAGTTTCATCAGCAAGAAAGATTTGTTCGAAGCAATTGGCAAGTCAGCTGGACTGGACGAAATAAACCGAACTGCTGGGGGACAAGGCAACAAATGTATTAGAAAACGATATGAAAGGACTGTAGTTTTGTCACTTTACAAGAAAGGAGATACTAGGAAATGTAACACCCATCGAGATTGATCTCTGTTCTTTCCATTATTCTTTGCGCAAAGAGAATAATGCGTTAAATATTAAAATTTCATATCTTTTTTTTTATATGGTCCAAAAACTAAATAAATGAAATAAAAATGAATTTCTTTATTAGCGATATGTGAGTTTTACTAAACATCTATTCATTATATGTAGTTCAGATTAGGTATATATTATTTTATTTTATAAAGCAAGTATTAATATGACTCATTTTCGGGGAAGTATGTACAATTTAAATTACTTCTAAGAATCAGTAAATATACAAAACAAAGCGTTAAATTGCAAACGTTAAATAAAAAATTCAAGATATTCAGCACAGTATTTATTAATTAACTTTAATTATTATAATTATATTATTTTTACAATATATGTCTACTCACACGACCTCCGTATAGAATGAATTAAGTTAAATAAAAAAATAAAATCAACTAATAAATTTAACAAAAAAATTTTAATTGTGTTTTTACAAATAAATTATTGCATTAATATTTGTTAGTTAATAAAACCAATATAATGTACCAAAAACGTTATTATATCATTATAACTACGCCACACAGAATGGTGTGGTAGAGGCTTGTAGACACCTACGCCAGCACAGCATTTCCCCTGCATAAATGCATTTTCTACTACTTCAAATATTTTAAAAAGTAATCAGTGTTTTTGAAAGATAAATATATTCTCCGTATGTTTTATTTCAGCACGTTTTGCGTTATTGTTGGTCATTTAATTACAAACGACGCTTAATTTTCAACTTGAAAATTTGTTTGTTAAAAAAATTGCATTTCCTGGTGTTTTGTATTCCCTAAGAAAATTATTTTTTAAATATTCTTTCATATTTTATTATTCTCTCACTATACAGCTTTAATAAAAGACCAACTATGACGATATTATGCCAAATTCTGATTCTCAGTGATCAAAAAACTAACTAAAATCAAAGTCGTCAGTCTGCCATGTTTAGACGCCATTTTGGGACAGTGCGTTCACTTTATTTGTTGAAAAATTGTTTTTGTTTTTTTAATAAACAGTTACAAGGAACATAACGATATGTAATTTATAGAGATGTATGGGTGGGGGGGGAGTAGGGTAGGGTTGACAGTACGGGGTTCTGGCCCACAGATTATTACCTATGCTAAGGGTCCTGGTAAACTTGTACAATAGAATTTTATATACAATATCTTACAAATACTACTACTACAATATATAGAAATGTATTATAGTTATTGGTTAAAATAAATTCTATGGGTGGAAAAGAACAACAATATAGTTACTGATGTAGGTTGGTTTATTATAAATTTTTCCAATAAGGGGGACTGACCGGGTAAGTAAACACCCATCTAGTCTATCTCAAATTCAAACTGACCAGTACCTGCTGGACTCCAGTAGCCAACTGGTAGCCCTATCATAACCAGCGCCTCCTTACCCAACCATCAGGCTCAACGCGGCGGAACGTACCCTCGGGCCGTTCGGAGCCTCCGGGATGGAACGCAGCACCGGCCAGCTCCGATAAATGATTAGTGACTTCCCCGGAGTCGCTCACGAGCTACCCCCTTGTACCTCGTGATGCCAATAAATTCTCCTCGAGTCGGAGGGACCGAGGAAACGGAGTTCGTGATGCAGCGGAGAAGCGCATTGTCGCCTGTCCCCGAGAAGAGCGCACTGGAAAGAAGCGATTAATTACACTCCTCATTAGCATTAATTATTATTGACAGTTATTCCGCGGGACGGACGAGCCATTGTCTTCCGACACCCGTGAGTTCGTGGCCTGCGCAGAAGGCACGAACCATCCCCTGACGCCCGCTGGATATTGTCTACCGCCTACGTTTTCTTACTGTGGGAACCGTGACGCCGCCGAAATTCTAATCACACCGAGCACGACTCTCCTCTTTCAGCTGCATTTTTACCCATTCAATGGATAATTATCCCTCTCATAAAATACTAATGCATCCTCCTATAAATCAACTGCATTTCCTTTTTGCATGACAATGGATGTTCCAAGAAAACAATAATTCAATGGAAGCACCTTTGAACACAATAATATAAATTATGACATCTTATTATTGATCATCAGCCAACACGATGCTTTTATCTATTATATCGACTTTGAAGAAGCAACACAATAAGACAAAGACATTTACGAGAGAAGTTTTGATTCTAAACGTTATAGAAAAATTCTTCAATAAAATAATAATAGTTAGTCTGAAATTTACAAATATATTATATATATTTATTTGTTATATATATTTATAAATATATATTACAAATATATAAAGTCAAGGTTATTTTGCAATAAATATTTTCCCCTCACTTCTTGCCCATAGTTCCTACTACAAGTTTGGACTATGATCAATTCGTTATGGGACTTAACCCAAAATTGATGCAAATTAGACGCTGAAGAGGTGGACAAATTATCCTCGAAACGTCCAAATAAAAATTATTGTGAACACTCTTAATTACGAATATTTATTTTGTTACATTAGACCTATGGGCAAGAAATGAGGAGAAAATCATTAATGATGAAAGATCTAAACTAGTCCAAAATTATCCAGGGATACAAATCCATTCTTAACATATTTCAATAAAAAATATTACATATTTAGTAATTTCACAAACAACAAAAAAGTAAGAGATTTCATCTAAACCTGACAAGTAAAATATTAGAGATTAGAATTAGAAGTACAATTTGAGGTTGAAAGTAGCTTGTATTTATTTCTTGAAGTAGTCTTAATATATGTTAATTTATACTACATTTTACTATATATTTGGAATTATGGTTTTTCGCTATGGATGAAATTTTATAATTTCATAATTTTTAAAAATTTTAAGGTTTTTTTCGCGGCGTTTTCGTTGTCACTGATTGTTTCTTTTAGATTCTAAGCCATATCCAAATTTTTCCTTATATTCTTAAATACTGGGCAGTATTTTATGATATGTTGGACAGTTGCACCTTTGCACCTTACAGCTCTTGCAAGCCGGTGGGTCTAGTCCTCTTAGTAAATAGGCATGTGAAAATTCACAATGCCCGATTCTTAAGTTGCAGAGGGCTGTCTCTTCTTTTCTGGAGTGTCGGCTACTAGTTTTCCATTTGGAACAGTGGCTTTTATTTCTTTTAATTTGGTTTCTTTTTGTTGCTATTCGTTCTGCCACATTAGCCGCAATTTTTTTTTATATGATGTATGAAATCTTCTATCGAGATTTCGTTAATATTCGTTATAATAATATTCGTTAATATCATATGTATGATTCGTGAAAACAATAAAATTATCAGTAAAAGAAATTTCTCACCGTATAGACTAAGACATACAACAATATACGATTGAAAATGTTATGAAATTCTCTTTTATATAATATTATAATATTGCTGTGTATATGAGATTAAAGAGTTTTATTACAAACATAAGTGTGATAAATTAGAATTAAAACCGAATGTACATTTATGACGTTATAGTTACATATGCATTTCGGTGTATTTACTTCACACTAGTGCCGTGTCATCGCCGTCCAGATGGTTATAACGCTTCGAACTATTTGATGGTGAAATAGCACTTGATCTGCGATTCGATTCATTTCCAAGCGGGACGAAATGACCAAGTCCTTCAATAGTTCAAATTCAAACCCTTTGCTCACTAACAGCTTTTAGCGTTAATGTACCGCGCGATTGGAAATGAATATGCCAAATCCCTCGGAACATTTCGATAATAGCATGAAATCTACTTCCGATCTACAACGGCCCTCAAGGGAATGAATGGATGGGTGCATTAAAAATAAAAACCACACACGCTCAATGGATAAAAAAAAGGAACAGTTGACGAGCCCTAACAATCGTACCTTTGATGACCACATAGGGTGGTTTATGAGCCCCATCGCCCCGCACATGTGCACCCTCAATGCCGGATCATGGGCCGCGGACAAAGGGTCAATGTAGCTGCTCCAGTTCGTCATTAGGGTTGCGCTATCCGTCATAGGACGTCCTAGGGGACACATCTCACATGTGGATGTGGCTGCTCAAAGGAGCACACTTGTTGGAGGCACTGAGTGAGACGGCTTCGTTAGGAGGGTATTATTTATTAACTTATCTGTCGAGATATTCATAATTAAATAAAATATAATCCAGTAGCTCTGTCTCAACGATTATTCTACATCAAAGTTGGCAAAATAAAATCAGAGGCTCTCAAAAGAAAATCTAGCTCAGTTATTTTAATTTGTGAATATCATCAGAATATGCTAGGCTGAATTAGGCACCGATATTAAATCCAAATACAGTGGAATTATCAATTTTTTAAAATTAAAAACAGCGAAATTAAAATTATTCTTATGTAAATCCTCATTAAAAAAAAAAAAATATGTTAATATTATTTCATTTTAATTAACATCCTTTATACCAGTAAATTATGTTATTGCTGAAGTGTACAGCATGTTATAAATGTAATATTTCGTATTTACGACCTTTAATAAAAATAATTTGGCAGACTGTTTATCGATTGCGTGGAACCGAATTTATCATTACAAATACATATATATATTCGATTGCTCTCTACCTCCCCATTTCCGATATAAGGAGTGGGGGTTTGATCTCTAAGTACAACCGAATCTATTCTAACTAGAGTGAGAAGGCCGAGCTTCATTCCGTGGGTCCACCATGAAATAAATTACAACATGGGGTGTTCATGCGCTCATTGTAGATGCTTAATGTGCTAACCTGCTAAAGTTTTATTTTTAAAATGCCAAAGCGAAATGAAGAGTGAACCTTCATTCTAGATTAATAGGTTAAAAATATTTTATTAGAAAGAATGAATAAAGATTCAGAAGGGAAAGAACTTGATGAATACATCAATGAAATTCAAGCTGTCTTTACATTCTATTTTCCTTTATTGTAGACAATATCGGAATTGCACTCTGAGGCACTATTGACGTTCTGATTGATCATGTAAGGTACTGATTGAAGTACTGATGGACATGTGTGGCGGGTTTCCGAAAATCCGGAAATCAAAGGTTAAATTACAACAAATGAAGGAGAGACTGAGGTAAAAGTGGTGTGGAGACTAACCTTATTATTAGATAAGTTAGTTTACCTAGTCCTCACAACCATTGTAAATATGATTTTCATTAAAAGTAAATACTTTTTCATAGTCCTTGTTTATATTTGTATAACGTTCTAAGGCTTTAGCAAAACGTTAGAGCATAGTATTGTTAGATATTCTGGGATACTTTATTACTATTAAAAAGTATCTGGTGAAAATTTAAATTAGTGCTTTAATTAATTTTGCGTCTTGAACTCCTTAAAAAAATAAAAGAAATATATATATATATATATATATATATATATATATATATATATATATATATATATATATATAATCATTGTATATAAATTCGATTGCTACATGACAATTACTAGATAATGAGCTGAAACTTAGAAACTGAAACTTAGATAATGAGCTGTACTTGTTTACTTAATTAATACTGTGCAAAATATAAATAATAAAAATATTAAATCCTTATAATCGTTTAGTTCTTATACTGCCTAAGTACAAGAACAGGATCACAAGACCTCTTACGGTGGGACGGGCATTCTCGGTTGACCCGCAATGGCCGTGTGGTCTCATTGGTATTCGCCGGTATCTGTCACAATGAACATGCTAATCAACACGGGCTGTACACATACATTGCTGTTTGCGATGTGTGCAGTATGGATTACCAATGTACCTCTTCATGTATATAGCAAGTTCTTATCCATACATTAGCTTTACAAGTTGTATTTCGTTTCTTCCGCAATCTCAAGTGTCTCCAAGACCCCCAACGAACAACTTTGACCCTTTTGATCTTCACTAACACAACAACTAATTTTTAATAGTTAATTAAAAAAACAAAACAATATTTCTAAAGATTTCGTTTCATTTCATCGAAGTAGGTAGTAATTATGTGAGTAAGCCACCGGATCTCTCATATCCTTGCTGAGCGTAATTGTAAGACATGGTTCGATCCTGATTGTCAAAATGCTTCGAAGTGGGTACCCAACTTTAACTACATGATGAAAGGCAATTGATATCAATACATGAAGAAAACCTATTTTCTAGCTGTTTCAGTTAAATTTACTATTTCTGTTAAGGATACATTTTTTTTTTATTTTAAAAGGAATTTTGCTCAACTATGGTTACTATGTGTTGAAGATTTAAATATTTTTCAAATCTTTTTTTTTCTACTCCTTTCGATTCAAGCCTTGCTTTTCCCTGATGTCTCGTCTTTGTGATATTCCACGTTGTCTTTCCACTTTACCTTTGATCTGCCCTATTCCCTTTCTCTTATTATTTGCAGTTTCACACTTATTTTTGGAAATCATTCTGAATACATCTTTTTATAATGCTCAAACCAGCGTAATATTTTTACTTCAATGTGGGAGAATATTTCGATCCCGAATTCTTTAAATTTTGAAGTCCTTCCTGTCTGAATTTTCTCCCTGCCATTCTCCTGAAGTCCTTTCCTCTTGCTAGTATTATTTAGTGCCTGCTATTAACGACACATGTCTCTAAGGCGTATGTTATTATAGACTTGAATATAGATTCGGATCTCAGCTTCTTTGCATTAGGGCTGAATATTCGTATAACACCGTTGAGCATTGTAGTGATTTTTCTAAACTACATTCACGTTATGTTTATTATATATTCATCAATATAAAACTTCGGTCACCGTAGTTGCCTTAATAAATTTTATAAATTTTCTAGGTGAATTAACTTTAAGAATAACAATAGTGACATCAAATTTATTTTTAGTTTTAACATTAGTGGATCTATACTGACGTATAAAGGATTATCTACACGCACAATACGTCAATTAAGTGTGTACTTTACGTTTTATATGTTTATTAAAAATCAGGTGGTTTAGATTCTTCTTGTCTAATTGTCACCTTGCATTACCGTCGATGAAGAAACGGTACATACCTAGCAAGTGACCCAACACTCTCCATAGGTTCTCATAATATTTTTTTTTTTATTTTAAGTGAGTTTTAATGTATTAATAAAAAGAAATAATAATGTAAGCCGTAAGCTGTTTTGACATCAGATTGTTTAGCCGTTGCAAAATATCTGTTCTTCCAACTCTGGTAGCCTGTCTGCATTGTAGTCAAGAAAGTGGGTAGGGCATCCACCATGAACGGCTGGTAACGAGCAATTAAACGACTGTCTCCTCTACCAACATGTTGGCCAATTAAACTCCACTAATGTTCTTGTTTGTTTTAGCAAGCGCCTGGTGTCTCGGCCACTTAAAATCCTGCGTCCAGTGCAGGTGTATGGAGGAGGAACGAAACAGACACCAGGCATAGCGTTGCAACACCTTCAAAGTCTCAGGTTCATTTCCAGTGTAAATATATTTACAAAGGTCATTTATGACGAAACTCGATGTAGCATTTTGTATAAGTAAGGACGAATTACAAGATCTGTGCATTTAGGCAGTTTGAAATGAAGAATGAGTGCTGTGAATCCAAATTAAAGGGAGTATACTGTCATGAAATTATCTATACATGGAAATAAAATATTTTTTCGATTTATCCATCCAAGATTATCAAAGATACTCAATTCTATTGAAAAATTCTTCTTTTATAATACTTAATTAAGCATGTAAGTAGATGAATAGTAATGATTTCTCCACTTATCACCATGATACTTATACAATTGAGAATGCTGTCTAAATTAAATAATTCGAAATTCATTTGATACGTTGGATTATATTTCACTAGTTGTTCGATAAAGGAAACGTAATTTTCCTCTAGTTGAAAATAATATATATAAATATATACATGGGTGCGTCACTAAACATGTGGGTCTTCATCAGTGCTGGAACCAGGCTCTGATGATGACCCACACGTTTGGGTTGAAACGTCGGCACTAATAAAAACCTTATAATGACTGCGTCCTGAATATTTGTCACCCATGATATGTACTACTCATACACTGAAGTTCATAAATATATAAAGTGAGCCCTCAATATAAAGTTTTTTGTTATAGTTGATTCGGATATGAAGTGGCTCGCAATCTCTGATTGGTCTTAGAATAAGATGATAATATTATAATTTTGTCTGTTTCTCACAAATTTAAAATAAAAATTTTTATGAATTTTCTTTTTAAGAACTGTTCATATATATAAGAAATATAATACGTATATTCTAAATTGAATATTGATGTCTACCTCATGTTATCAGTCACTTCTTTTTTAATCTAAAATATTTTATTAGAAATGCAAACATTTTTTGTATAATATGTAGAAAGTTCTGTTTATATAAACCATTAACACGTCAATATATATAAAATAATTTAAAAAAATTTAACATGAATCAGGCATAAACCAATAAATAATTTTCTTTTCCCTACATACATGCATATAAAGTCCTTCCAATGATTTATACTTTTCTACTCCCGGCATTACGCTGGTACCCTTATAACATGGTATGTTAAGTTTCTACTTGATTTGCGTCATAGAGAGGGCCCACTGTAATTACTTTTTATTGACGTTTTGAACATACTTTTCATTTTCGAAATTAATTTTGTTTTTATTCTTTAAAGTTGGAGATATAAATGATCGATGCTTTAGCTCTAAAACATTGTAATTCCATTAAAACAATTTTAAATAAGACAACAAAAAATATATTTCCATAAGTAGATGAGTAAGATAAGTAAAAATCGTTATAAATTTTTACATGTTATATTTTGAGATGTGTTAAAAATTTAGATTGTTAAAAACATAATTTCATGATTTATAAATCAATGAGTGAATATAATTACTTTAACTTCAGAATTTTAGTAAATTAGACATACAAATAGGCGCCGATATTTCATATTTTCCTATTCTACCTAAAGTTCTTCAGATTAAAAAAAAATTCGAAGTTATTATATTGTGAATTTTAGATCATATTTTTTATTTTATTATTATTTTTGTTTGATAAGCCCGTCATTAAAGGAATTTTTTTAACAGTTTAGTCTGTAAGGAAAATT